GATATAAAATAGAATTTTACAACTTTCAATATAAATTTTACTTCTCAATATAGATTTAAATTTCCAGTGTAATTTCTATTTTACAGATTTTTAATTCAAAATGATCACTATACTAAAACCAATAATAAGCTTATGTTAGGGTTTAAATACCAACTAACAAAGTTTTTGATATCCATTAGGGAGGTCACCCATCATTTGTCTTTCACACTATGCATGTATGGCAAATTTACAAATGATAGGTTCCGTAAAATGGTAATTTGGTAGGCTGCTGGGATCCTATCGGGTTTTAATGTTTTCAAATTGAGCAATAGTAATAGGAACACAAACTTTACATAGATCCAGGCTGAAAAACCTAAATACAAAGTGAATTGAAACCTCACCCTGTATGTGGGAGCTCAAAGCAATCCCTAAACATGATGATTTGATTTGACAAAACCTGTTTCTGTTTCAGGTTCATCCGGCTGCTGATTAGCTGAATTTCCATACCCTGCATGTTCAGGGATAGATACATTCTCCTTTACAGCTGGCTTTCCTGCAGCCAGAGCTTTTTTCAACAGTCAGGCCTCTTTTCTTTCCCTGTCCTTCCTAATTTTGGAAGGCATCTTCTGTTTTCCTTCCCGTGGACTGAGGTCTAGGTACGGAGGAGAAGGTGGAACCCTGGGGTCTGGTGACTGATGAGAAGGTAATTGTTTCCTTCCCATTCTCAGTCTCCAGAGTCATCCTAGCCCAGATCCCTGCTGATCTACACTGATTGTATAATCTTAGGATGGCAAGGAAAGTATTCACCCCTGCCATCTTGTTTTAGCTGTAGTGTACTGCAGCAATCACATACTGTTGTGTTTGGTACCAAGGTCAGCTGAATACTGAAAATATTTAAAATTGGACATTAACTCCAACTCTTCTGATGCTTTTTGAAAGCATCTTGGAGAAAAAAAACTATTTAAATGATCTGTCAAGAAATAAATATCCCTCACTGGAAACTCAGGTTCATTTCAAGTACTGGGCTAGAGCTTGAGCTTGTATCATGATATTAAGGCTGGATCAGTTAGGATTTCTGGTATATATGTATTCTATGGTATTGGCTCCTGGTATAATGAGATGAAGGCTGGATCAGCTTGGATTACAGAGGATATTACTGCAGTCTCTGTTTAGTGTACATGCATAACCCAATATTGAATATTTCTTGAACAATTCATCTTCAAGATATATAATATATATGTTCTATCTAGGAATACAGAGACAATGCTTAATATATTATTGTATTTAACTTGTTCAGACCATGCTAGACTTTATTTTTTAACAATTTATTTTTTTATTTAAAAAGGTTTTTATACAAGATAAATCAAAAATTGTACAATATTATTTTACAGTATTCCAATTTTTCACACTTTGGGATTCTTGGGGCCCCCGGTACCCTCCACCCTGAAAACCCCAAGTGGGAAACAGCACCCCAACATTTATTTTTGATATCAAAATATTTTGTATTAGAAATAGTCTGTACTCTGTACATTCTTCTTATCTATCCATTGGTTCAGAATTCTGCTAATCTCTGCTTTTTAAAATATTCTGTCTTATATTTCTGGTTTGTTGCTGACACTGAACACATATAACCTTTCAAATTTTCTGGAATTTGCTATCTCAGCAAGTTTGTAGATTGTTGAATGTTGATGATTATACTAAATATAGATCTATACACAATTAATGCTTCCCAGCTTTGTAAATGGATGGAGAAAGGAAAAGGAACACTGCTCCAGACTTGGAATTTTGAAAATTTGTAGGACCCAATGTCAGAATCTGCACTTATAAATAATGACTGACAAATGGGATAAAAGGAATTTTGGCTAGGAGTAGATTATTAACAGTTGGAGTCTTCAAACTTTTTTTCCTAAAGTTCCTAGATAGATGAGTTTATACTGTGCTGTATTTTGTTGGGCATGACAGTAAGCTCCTCTACTCTCACTCCGTTTCATAGTAAATCAAAGACAGGATAGCTTCGAGTTTTATAAAGGCTTGGGGCTTTAATCTGCCAATTAATATATTTTTAGACTACAGAAAAGGTTTGAATAATACAATCTCTCAATATTCATCCATCAAAAATCATAACATCATATTATTCAGATGTTAAAAACTGTAGCATGAAGCTAAAGGATACATAAATATAATCATACAAGAGCACAAAAAGAATTTAATTATTGAATAAACATATTTACCACATTAGTCCTCCAATACTAGCATGATAAATCAGCATAAAAGATATATATCTAACTACTCTCTATTAAATATGCCGGTAAACTGATCTAACACATGAGTTTTAGCTCATGAACAATACAATAAACATTTTTTCGGTAAAAAACAGGTTCAGCACAGCTTCTTTCCCTCAGCAACAATCATCAGAATACAGGGATAAATACTGGTAGAAGAGGGGCAATTCATAGATTTTGTACACAGCGTGAGCTCCCGTAACACAAAATTTAAAACAAAAAACCTCAATATTTCTTTTGAAGAACTTTTAGGCCTAAATCCTGACAAATATTATAAAATGAGTGTATTGTGTATATTTTTTAAAAAGGTAAACATAAATTTGCATATTAGAACTTCTAGAGTTCCTTTCTTGGTTGTATAAGTAATTGGTTTAAATTGTATACAATATAGAAAGACTAAAGAGTTATAATATGCAGAATATGTCTGGCATGAGTTTTCCTGCACTCAGAAACTTAAACAAATATGCATTCTTCATGGTGGTTGTCTGGGGGAATAAAAATATGATAATAAAAAAATAGTTTTCCACCTTTAGAGAGTGAATGACTTTGTTTGGAGTTAAAGTTTTGAAATAACAGTGCATGCAGTTTTATTATTCATTTGATACCTTTATAAAAGTTTATATGTTCCATAATTGCTACATAAGACCAAAAACAAAAAAAATCATGGAGCTGGATACTTAATTCCGGAGGTCAGGTGACATTCCATTTTTAGAATCATTTAATAGCTAAGAAACATATTTCTTTAATAAAAATGTTCCTAAATAGCAATTTACTTTACACAGAATTTTGTTTTTTTTTGTATAGGGGAAATTTGTTGAGGCACTTGATCACAAAAACTTTGCAAAGTAAATCAAGTAAAACCTTTACAATATTAATCCCTACCACTGTAAAGAAAAAAAAAAACTTAGTGGCCAACGTGTATAAATAACCAAAGAATGCATGATAGCTCTGAGATAGGGTTAGGTTTAGTACAAATAAAGTAAGTATCATTTTGTCATTGGTTGGCAATCATAAGTAAATAAAAGAACACTGCAGCATGATTTCTTCTTAATCTAAATGTTATAGATAACAATCACAAAACTTACTTTCACGAACAATACTCCAACATTTAACAGATGTAAAACAAAGCGAAATGTAAGCTATTTACTTTAATAGTAAACATGCCTAACATGCAACAATAAAGTATAAAAACATATATACTCGAAGTTTCTACATTTAATATGTAAACTAGATTCGCTGGGTGTAAAGTGAACAATTACTGAATAGTTTTTTTTAAAATTTAAATACCATACTTGTAATGTAAAATACTGAATTTTCTAGAGCTCACTTTACTGTATGTTTAAAAGTTCTTTCTATAATCTGAAGAATTGAATACTTCAATTCCATCAAGCTTAACTGAAAATTCAAACTTTTTAAAATTCAATTCAGTATCTCAAGATTCTAATGTCTGATGTCTATCTAGATTTCCTGAGAATAAATAATGCAAGAACTCGATACATAAGCTGCAATCCGTAGAATGAATGTGTCCCTGCCAAATGGTGATGGATCACAATTTATGAACAGAACATTACTAGGCGTCCATCTTATACAGGGCTGGGCACGTTCCAATTTTTTCTAGCCGTTTTGCTAAATGTTAGTTCCAACAGTTAAAAATGAAAATTTCGGGTAGCCGTTAATTTTAAAGGTAAGAACGGAACGTTTGTTCTGTTAGCATCATTTTCCGTTTTTAAAAAATACCGCCCGTTAACGATCTCAATTTTATCAATGGCGTTAACGGAAAATTTTCAAAAATCGTTATCAGTTCTGTTAAAGGTATTGCTATAATAAAATTAATGGCATTACGGCACGAAGCGGCAAAAAATGTCATTATAACGGTTTTAGAAAATTGTTAACAACACAAATATTAACGGTATATTACAGTATTAACAGTGAAAAAAATTTCGTTAACGTTTTAAAAACATGTAAAACGACATTAAAAAATTTCTTGCAATTTTAATCAGAAAATAACAAAATTTACTGTTTTTATTTTTTTAGTTAACATTTTTAACCGCTATTTTTTTCAAAAATGACTTATCACAGATCAAACAGAACTTTACTCAGCCCTAACCTTGACCTATAATATTTTTTCATGAAATATAAAGATTTTAAACTGCTGTATTTAATAGTTAAAATGAGTAAATAATGTGTTGTTTGAACTACAGGAAATGAAATGACGTCATCATCGGTAGTTAGAATGAACAATAGTTCAAATGATCAATAGTTCAAACCACTGCACATCTCTGTTGCTGCAAACGGCAGCATGGCTTCAAATGCGGATCCACAATCCATGACGTTCATGTATTCTATGACCTTTGAACAAAAGTGTACACTTGTTTTGAGTAAACACGTGTACTCTTTAACCTATATCCTTCGCCCAGTTCAATTATTACATTAAATACACTCACCCGACTCTCTCACTCTCAGCTCAGTCCGTCCACCCCACAGCCGCTGCGCCTGCGTCAACAGTCTACACTCTAAAGTCTCTTCCACTCCTCTCACTAAACAAGGTGAATTTACTATAAACAATATTCTAAACAGTTAATATGATATGTTTTGGAACGGGTTTTGTATTTATACTGTACAGCGTACAAATTTATTTTTAAGATCAGACTATTAAATACGACATTTGTTTTTAAATTAAAATCAGCTGATGTAAAAAATACACTTTACGTATAGATGATGTAACATTACCATGAAATACATTCAGCTTTAGAATTTGGGCATTAGGAGAAGGGTTTTATAAATGCTGTTTGAGTTGGACTTCGAATTTAAGCTTAATGGATCAAAAATACACATTTCCTAATTAACTTGGCTTATAGATTAGGCTAGGACCGACCGGGTGAATACTTGGAACTTCCCTAAATTTGAAAAAGATATGTTTTAAATTTCTGGTTCAGTATTTAAAATGAAATGTTAGGAAAGGTGTGTGGAAGTCTTACAAAATTGCAATTTTGTAGAAAAATTTACCCAACTACAAGGTAAGGGTCCGTCCTAGTATACGATTTTTGTCCTCCCCCCCCCTCATATCAACTTTGTACATGACCACTTATTTTTCAGCAAATTTATTATTGTTTATTTTTTTATTATTTAGGGTTAGGTTAGGTAAAGACACTTTCTGGGCCGAGCGCTGGGGTTCAAAAATCGTATACTAGGAAATTACCCAAGGTAATGAATTTACTTTGTAAGATAAGCATGATAATAAATAGTTATGTTCCAGTTGTATTACATCAATTTTTGTGCATCTTTTATTATGTTAAGGTCTTCTTCAAATTTGAGTATGTCTGAGCCTGTTATTTTGCGTGTGCTGGCGTCCAGCGTGAAAATAGCTGATCGCGCCGGTCAGATTGTCAGGGATATCATGGCTGGAGGTCAATTAGGTAAACGGTATTATTTTTAATGAAACAACTGTTTTTATTATTTTATGTTTTATTAACTTCTTTCTTAATTTTTTTTAAAGTTCGTAGCACTTTCATTTTAATAAATGAACTTTATGCTCTTATTATAAACCTTTTCTTACGCAAATTATTAATTTTTATGATCTCTAGTTCTCTTTTTTTTCTCAAAATTTTTTGTCGATTATGTACGCATTGTACATATTTAATCTCCTGTTTTCCATTCCAGGTATTGTTGAGAAAACTGGGAAAAATGATCTGCAAACCGAAGCGGACAGGTGTACATTTATTATATATATTATATATGTATTATATATATTTTTGTATTATATATATTATATATGTATTATTTATTTAATGGAATTTACTTCTTATAAAGCTTAATGCTGATATGCTTAAATATTATACTCTAATACTCTTTTTTTCTGGATATTGCATTTTATACTTGACAAAAAACTGGTGCAATACAAGACTTTTAGCATGAGTATAGTTTAGTATTCAGATGTGGTTTTCAGAAATGGAGTTTCTTGGTCCCAGTCTAGTGTTTTTCGTTTTCTAAAAATGTGGTATGATGACAGCACTGAAACGCTTGATAGATTTTCGCACATTGCTTTGAAACTAACACTGGGTTTGCAGAACTTATGAAGTTTCTTTAGATTTGCTTTATTTGATGGTGAGATATACCTCTTGAGCCGATTTCAAAAGGGTGAACAGAAAGCTTAATGCTGATATGCTTAAAGCATAAAAATGAGACACAAATTCCAGGCTTTGCTTTTTTAACGAGTTTTTCGTTCATTGAGTAAAAGAGGGATCGTCGCGCACAATACATCTGTATGCAACTATTCTGACCTATGCACAATACATCTGTATGCAACTATTCTGACCTATGGAAAACAGAAATAAAATTACTAAATCACCCGTCCAATAGAGAGTAGTATTTACAGATAATATTCAGCTAACAGTCCTAATTTTATTTTTCAGAATTAAAATAAATAATATTTTAGATCTGCTCAGAACTGTATAGTTGCCTCCTTGCAGGCTCAGTACCCCGACCTTACTGTGGTGGGGGAGGAGGGGGAGCAGGATCTTTCTCAGGTAATTCAAGAACCCGTCATCTTGAGATTTGTATATTCTACATCAGGGGTGTATATAATTCCAATTTTTTTACTGTCCCCCCTCAAACTTTTTTAGATTTTGTTCCCCAAAGCATAATAATCCCTAAAGTGATGCATTTAAGAAAACATAAATGGCGTCGCAGGCAAGTGTTTAAAAAATACTTTGGGGAATGGATTGTGGCAATGGCAAAAAAAGTCGGAATTGATTATTTGTCAGTCCAGGAGTATTTTTGAAATTAATTTCCCATAATTTTTCTTTTATCATATTCTTATGAAGTTGAAAATTTTTAACACAATTTTTTGCTACATTGTAACTTTTGGGGAAAACTATTAATGAAAAACTCGCTGATTTTAGATAAAGTTATGTAGATATTAGAAGTAAAGAGCTCCTGCTCTTCCCTTTCCTATATTTCCCTTCCTTCACTTTTTTATCTGCCAACCTTCCATCGATTCCCTACCCCTTCCCTGCGTTCTCTTTCTCTATCTACCCTACCTTCCTCTTACTTTCCTCATCTACTTCCCTTCCCTTTCCTGTATTCCTCTTTCCCTCTCAATCTTCCCCTTTCCCCACACCCTTCCCCGTTCCTACTTTTCCTCTTCCCTAAATATCTCCTTCCCAACCATCTCCTTCCCTACCTATCCACTTCCATCCATTCCCCCTCCCTAACTTCCCCTTCCCCACCTTCCCCTTCCCCACCCTTCCCTTTTTTCCGCTCTTACCGTTTCCCGTTTTCCTTTCATTTCCCCCCTCCCTTATTTCCCCCTTTTCTTTCCCCTTTTCTTTTCCCTTTTCCATTCCCTTCCCTTCCTCTGGGGTCTTTGATTTCTTTCTGGGGGGAAAGAATTTTATACACCCATGTTCTTTATAAAAAACGCTCTTCGCTCATATATATTATAACTATAGCTGGCCAAACAACTGGACCAAATTGTCTGAACTGTTTTTTTAAACTTCCTTCAACGACAACGCCGGGCAATTCAGCTAGTATGTGTTATTTAGCAGGGGTACCTAGCTCCTGGTTAAAGGCTTAAGAATCCCCTCCCCTCAAGGATTTTGACATATTTGTGGTGGACAATTTTTTAGCACATTTTCCCCACTTCTTGATACTTATTTCCCCAACAAACTAAAATTTTCCCTAAAAGTATTTATTTTTTTCTCCACATTTTACAAAAATTGAGATTATTTTTGGATCCACATTCTCATATCTCATGAAGTTGTGAACATTTTTTGAAGAGGGGGAGAGAAAACAAAGATTTTCAATAAAATATACACCCCTGTGTATAAATAACTGTAAACGTAATCATGTAAGGTGCTTTATTAGAATTTCGTATTATAGGTTCCAGCTGAATGGATTGTAAGGGATTATGAAGAAAAAGCTCTTTCTCTAAACTGCACTGATGATCTGTCCTCGGCGAAGGTACCATTACACCTAGCTAATTTTTCAACTAAAAACTAGTCACTTCGTAATGAATATTTCATATTTGAGTCTTTAAATATTCTGTACATATACGCAAGGGAGAGGGGGCCGTCTTCACACGAGTGCTTAGGATCAAATTCACTATTCATCTAGATCTCCGCGTTTTCTCCCAGAGTCCAGATTCTATAGATAGTTTATTTTAGCAGATCCAGATTCTTGTCCTGAAAAATAATAAAAAACATGTGCCAACACATTTTCCACTTAACGTTAAAAAGGAACTGATCACTCATCTCAAGCTTTCTCTCAACGTATTTCAAACGGTGACTGTATGATCAAGCGAAGAAATAAGAGTTGGAGGCTTGTAATCAGTTCCTTTATCAAATAAAAGAAATATATTATTAGAAATAATTTTAATCAATTTCCTCTTCTGATAAATATCTATTAGAATTAGATGATGTTAAGGTGTCCTTCTTGATCTGCGGATATTTTGTCTAAATCTCTTTTCTATTACATGTCTTCATCTATGATAAAATAAGATGAGATGTAAAGGATTTTAAAACCGGTTCCCCGTAACTACGAGAAAATGCTACCGGTGGGACGGGCAGAATCACAAAGTGATCCTGACATAGTTCTACACATCGAGTTATTAGACAAAAATTTTCATTACCGGATTAAAAAGATTTTAATTTAAGATGTCGGATTTAACTGTCTGGGTTGACCCTCTAGATGGAACAGCTGAATATACTCAGGTTATTTTTTCTAAAAAGTAATTTATATATTTTGAGAATACAGCGAATTAAAATTTTACAAAAAGCATTTCTGAGCGTTTGTTTTAAAAGGTTATAAAAATTTAATTGAGGGACTTATTGACAATTGGATCTTGACCACTGAACTTAATCTAGTGACTACTTGACCACTCACTTAATCTAAGGACTACTTGACCATTGAACATAATCTAGAGACTACTTAACCACTCACTTAATCTAGGGACTACTTGACCTCTGAACTTAATCTAGAGACTACTTGACCACTGAATTTTATCTAGAGACTACTTGACCACTGAATTTATTCTAGGGACTACTTGACCACTGAATTTAATCTAGGGACTACTTGACCTCTGAATTTAATCTAGGGACTACTTGACCTCTGAATTTAATCTAGGGACTACTTGACCACTGAATTAAATCTAGAGACTACTTGACCACTGAATTTTATGTAGAGACTACTTGACCACTGAATTTAATCTAGGGACTACTTGACCACTGAATTTAATCTAGGGACTACATGACCACTGAACTTAATCTAGGGACTACTTGACCACTGAATTTAATTAAGGAACTACTTGACAACTGAATCTAATTTAAAAGGTACTTGACCACTGAAATTTTCAAAGGACTACTTGACCATTGAATTTAATCTAAGAACTATTTGACCACTGAATTTAATGTAAGGGCTACATGTCCAATGACCATGACCACCGAACTTAATTGGGACTTCTTTACAACTGAAATCTATGGAAAACTTGACCACTGAATTTAATCTAGGGACAACTTGACCACTGAATTTAATCTAGGGACTACTTGACCACTGAATTTAATCTAGGGACTCTTGACCAGTGAATATAATCTAGGGACTAATTGAACATTGAATTTATTTAATCTAGGGACTCCTTGACCACGTGACCGTTCTGATAGGATTGAGCCTAGGTTCTCGAGCTGTAGCCGGAGTAATCCATCAACCATATTGGAACTATAAGGAAATATTTCATCAGTTTTTCTTCAAAACATCTTAATATTCCATATATGGCACCATTAAACATTACTCTTTTATCAAAAATATTGTACATTTTCAATATTTTCTCTCTATTTACAAATCAAATGTATGATGAGAACTGTTCTAAAACATTGAAATTGTATTCACTGAAGACGACTGATCCGTTTTTTAGTGTCCCATTTTCTAAATTTTATTTCTACTCTTTAAACTAAAACTTTTTATTATATTTTTAAACTCAAATGAGAGGAGTAAAATGTTCAATTTAATTAATTTGAGATTACTTAACTTTCAAGATGCAATATATTGATGAACATATTATTATAGAATAAAGGAGGACCTATCGGTCGAACCTTTTATGGTTTAGTTGGTGGGGGAGTTGTTGGACTAAACCCTATCCCTCCTCCTGAAGGTATATAAGTACATTAGACAAACTGTCCGTGCATAGGAACAGGATCCATTTAATTTTGATGGGGATCCGGATCTGGATTCCATCCTGAAAAAAATCCGGTTCCGGATCCAAAGTCATGAACATTTGTAAGATTTAATGATTTTTTAACAGAAGAATTTTCAAACTATTTTTCTTTTTTTCGCTTATTTTTCAGAGATAAAGAAATTTCTACTAATCTTTCTTTTTTCGACAGTTATAATTTGGGTTTTCAGAGCAACAAGTTTTTTGTTGATATTTTGTCCCTTGGATTCGGATCCAGGGAACTGCATAATTGTGCTGATCCGGATTCAGGAAGCCAACATGTTAAAGGATCCGGATCCAGGAAGCCAAACATGTTAAGGATACGGATCAGATATTTCCTTATTTATCTACACTAATACTTAGATTAGTTGATTGAAAACATTAATTGGAATCTGTTCAAGAAATATTAATATTTACTTTCTTTAGATACATAATATAATATAATTAATAAAAATTAATTGATATAAATATTTCCATTATGAAAAAAAATTCCAGGTTGAAACTGAATGAAAAAATGTGCCGTCATCCGCTTTGAGTTCACACAGTAAGCTAGAGTACGCTCCTAATTTACAGCTTTTCACTCAACATTTTAGAGCCATTTACAAAGAGTTCTATATCCACGATGATCAGTCAAAAGTTTAATGGGTACCCTAGTGAATCGGCGATGTCACTCTTAAATGGAAGAATACTATAAATTATGAGAGTAATTCCTTTAATCAAACATTTGATAAGAATTATTAATATTATCAGGTAGTCGTATTGTAGCAACAACTAGATCCCATGGAACCGGTTTGATTCAACAAGCTCTAGAGATTATTCAGGCTGACACAGTTCTTAGAGTTGGAGGAGCTGGACATAAGGTAGACAAGGGCGTATTTAGGAATTGTTTATGGGGGGGGGGCTTAAACTTTCTGTACAGGGGGGGGGGTGCTCAGCATCCGTTGGGGCCTGAAAATCCCCTGAAACCACTGGTCCAGGGGGGTTTTGAGCCCCATAGCCCCACCCCTGAATACGCCTCTGAAGGTAGAACTGTTGATTATGGAATACAGGCGCGCATTGCGTTAAAAATCAAAACATTTATTGAAGTTGTGGTTTTGAAGATTTTAAGTAAATAATTGTTTTAACATTTAGGAAAAAAAAGATTATTTTAAATGCAGGTTGAATCTTGTATCTTCATCTTAGGTCTTAAATTGTCTATAGTGTTTCCGAATCGTCTCCAACCTACATAGAGATGAATGTCAGAAGTCTACATTTTACACAATAATACATTTATATTTGCCAAATTTCCCCCAACTGTGCTCCCTGCTTTTTTTCACGAAAAAATATCATAGCGGGATTATTTTTTTGAACCAATTTAAGTCGGCGAGGGGGGGGGGAGCTCTTTTTGAAAAACAATCCTAAAAATTTTGGGATTCTTAGTATGTTGCAACAGTTTGTGACTTTGTAAATATAAATTCGGTTTTTCTAAGGTTATGTTGCTTATGGAAGGTCAGGCGCATGCGTACGTTTTCCCCTCTCCAGGTAAAAGATTTTGATAAATCCAATCTAAACTAAGCTATGAATGTTTGTCTGCTCTGAGCTGAAAACTTAAAAATATTGGATATCGAGATCAATCTCCCCTTTTTGTTAATCTTAAGATAATTTTTATATCCAGGAAAGTGTCTAAAAATTCAACCAAGCACAATCCCGAACAGCCAATCAGAAGCCGGGTAATTTTGAAATTTTACGCGCCACTTAATGAAAGAACTCTTATCGGTCCGAATCCAGAGGGGATATCCAAAAAGAGCGGATTAAGCACAAATCAATATTGTATTGATACACTACAGTGGATATTCAGATTTAGATTAAGTGTATCCAATTCTAAAGTTTTCAGAGCTGAAAACTTTAGAATGTGATATCCTTAATCCCGATCTGTTAATTAATCTGGAGATTAAATTCATGAGGACAACAAACAATATTTAATCTGGAGATTAAGAAAAAGAGTGGATCAAGCATTAATCCCGATATCCACCATTCTAAGGTTCCCAGCTCAGTTCTAGGTAAGGTTTAAGGTGGTCCAAAGAGCTTTTAATGAATAATAGTTGCAGAGTGTTCTTGGGCTAAAGTTAGAAGTTTCATGATAAATAAATACATAGATATTTTCTTTTTATTCGGAGAATGCTTGGCACGGACCGGATTATTTAATGATAAAATTTAGATTAATTGGAACTAAATGTGTTTTTTTGGAAATAATTTTTTTTTTTGTTGGGGGGGGGGAAATGCTTTAAAAAGAGGTTAGCCAACCAGTGACGTCTGGATACAGTTGGTTCTCTGGTAATATCAAGGACACGACACAAGAGATTATATTACAATATATTGTTATATTTCTGTGAGGAATTCTTGGCATCTAGAATTAATGATTAATGTCTGGGAAATATGTTTATACATTTTTCTAAAGAAATTTGTATAGATCTGGAGTGTACTGTACCGCACTGTACTAAAAAGCACTGTACGGTGCTGTACTAAATTTTACTACTGAAATGCACTGTATTTACAGCATTTTTACTTAAATTATTGTGCTGTACTGTACAGTTTACTTTAATTATTGTGCTGTACAGTTTACTTTAGGTTGTAAGAAATGGGATACATGTGCTCCTGAGGCGATTCTTCACGCTATGGGAGGAAAACTTACAGATATGAAGGGACAGACATACCAGTATCATTCTCAGGTGACATATTTACATACCAGCACCATCAAAATGTGACATACAGACATACAACTACCATTTTCAGTGGACATACAAATAGACCAGTATCATTTTCAGGTGACATCCATACAGAACAGTATCAGTCTCAGGTGACATGCATACATACCAGTACCATTCTCAGGTGACATACTGACATACCAGTGCCATTCTCAGGTGACATGCAAACATACCAGTACCATTCTCAGCTGACATCCATACATACCAGTACCATTCTCAGCTGACATACTGACATACCACTATCATTCTCAGCTGAGTGACGTAGATAAGAAATAATAATTAGATCTGAAAGGGAACCCGACATGGAACCCTCAGACATACAGACATACCAGTACAATTATTAGGTCACATAATGAAGCATTTTTTTTTTCTCGAGACAGAAACTTACACCAAGGGGGCCAGGCTGTCATTCTGTACAAAAACAAGGAATTTACTAATTTAAGATATGTCCATTATCTCAATTATGTCAATTTTGGCAATTGTGTCAATTATGTCAATTATGTCATTTATGTCAAATATTATGTCAACTATGTCAATTATGTAAATTATGTCATATATGGCAATTTTGTCAATTTACATACTTCAGGTTGAACACAGGAACAGTGACGGAGTGTTGGCTACAGCCAAAGCTAGTGATCATGCCTGGTACTTAGATACCATACCCCAGGTACTTAGATACCATACCCCAGGTACTTCATTGTACAGGGGTACTTAGATACCATACCCAAGGTAATTCATTGTACAGGGGTACTTAGATACCATACCCCAGGTAATTAGATACCATACCCCAGGTACTTAGATACCATACCCCAGGTAATTCATTGTACAGGGGTACTTAGATACCATACCCCAGGTAATTAGATACCATACCCCAGGTACTTTGATACCATACCCCAGGTAATTCATTGTACAGGTGTACTTAGATACCATACCCCAGGTAATTCATTGTACAGGGGTACTTAGATACCATACCCCAGGTAATTCATTGTACAGGGGTATTTTATCCTTGAAATATCTCCCTTCTTAAACTTTTAAGGAAAATAAATGATTTTGTAGATGCTTGCAAAGCAAACAAAATATGAAAAATTTTATTAATTGGAGAAAAATTATATTTTTTAAGCAAAACATAATTTTATTTTGTTTTCAGGAGGTAAAGGATAAAGTTAAGGACAGTTTAAGAAAGAAGTAATCTTATTGATTAACATCAAGACTTGAATCCAAAATCAGAATCCTTCAAAATTGATCCAGATCGACTACATGATCAATGATCATGAAACCAAGTCAAATATTCAAACATAACAAAAAGAATTAATTTAAAATTGAATATTTTAGATTATCAATGTGGACAATGACACGGCAAAAAAATGTTACGAAATAAAAAGCCTTAAGATGTGCCTTAAATCAAATGTATTTTATCACAGTAATTATGATTTATCAGTTTAATCCAATGGTTTAGATGCATTTATTTGTGTGATCGTCTTCAGTTGTATATTAATTATTGTTTGTTTTGATATTAATGTGTTTTTACTTACTATCGATTCCTCTTGAAACCAGTTATTTTGTAAACATCTTTAGATAAGAAATTAAATCATTATCTCTTCTGTATACTCTAAATCCTGCCAGTGATTGGGTGACTTGCAGTGAAAAAATGAAATTTTGTTTGTCTTAATATTTTTCTTTTTCGCTTTTTTTTCAAAATTTTTTCCTTAGATGGATTGATAGATGAATGTAAGTGACCCCCCATGAAAAGATATCAACGCCCGATTCACAACGTACCCTTCAAACCTTAAATCAATTAAAAATGTAAAAGATAATGTCGTTTTTCTAGGTTTAATACTAATAGTGTGAAAAGTCTTTTTCTGCAATAGAAATGCGTAAGTCACTGTTATCGAGGAACTATAATAATGATTAGTTTGTTAATTAATCGAAAATTGCCACCAGAGCACGCCAAGTCACTTGGAGTTCATAGTGTATTTAGTGACGCTTTTATTAACTTATAAAATAAGAATGTTTGCAACATAAAAACATTCCAAATTTTCAGATAAAATGAGCACTGGGATTCTAACTGGAAAACTTTCTCGTTCTGCTTTATTCAATTCTAGAAGGCATAAGGATTTTTCCCAAAATTTTATATTTAACGTAAAACAGTCAAATTAAATGTTAGATTATTAAATTTATGTAAGAAAACAGCTGTTCAGAGATCAATAATCGTCCGAATTTTAAACTGTGTTTTTCGATTTCCTACTTTTGGTTGACAATATTTTTAATATGCACTGTCAGGCCTTTTGAGGACTAAAAACCCGTAAGATTTTACTGATTCAAAGGGGGGGGGGGGCTCAACCCCCGGTATGCCTATGAAGAATCGATATAATTTTGACAAGCACGAGGGGCCTTTATTTTTTTAATGATTACTTGTAGTCGTTAACAAGCTGTAATTCATTACACAGTACATTACAGATAGCAGCATACATAGCAAGGGCGGATACAGGATTTAATTAAGGGGGGGGGGGGGCAAGAATTTTTAGAAACAAAAAATTCATAATTAGAAACAAAAAATCGCGCTGCAGGCGAAATTTTTTTTGACTTAAAAGACTAAAAAACTAGATTTTTAACTTTTCAAACATTATAGTTTATTAAGACAGATATATTTCCTGTTTTGAACTGTTCCCTTAAGCATGCTATTGAGAAGCTATTCTGAAAATAGGAACAAAAAATTCCAAATTCAGGGGGGCTACGCCCTTCCCTGAATCTGTCAGGGGGTGGCGAATGCCCCCCCGCCCCCCCCCCTGTATCCGCCCCTGATACATATGTAATATGAATCTATGTTAGGTATGTACACAATAAGAAAGTGCGGATAGGATGCTCAAGTGGATTCTGGGGAGATACCCCTACTGCAGTACCTCAACTTCTTCAGGGCGGAAATATTCAGGTTCCTTGATAATCTTCATTCTACCCAGGGGCGTACGAGAGCATTTGTGTAATTTGCGGGTGTCAGCGTGCAAAACAAGAGAATGTTGTGCCCCCCCCCCTTGGCAACATTGTGCCCCCCTTAAAAACCCCTTTTTTGAAAAAAATATTGATGTCTAACTATGTAAACTATTCGATCATTTAAAGTATACACACTTCCATATTACAAGTGTTGATTAATTATTTATGTAATTTTATTAAGTGAACTTATTAGACACTCCTCCTTAATACTGTGGTTTAAGCTTCAAGGGGTGAAAAATAGAGATGGAAACGTTTCTTGAAAACTATCTATATTTTCATAGGTTTGATACATATTGTATTATAAATAATGATATCAAATATATTTACACCGAAGACAGTATTTGTAAGCTTCAAGGGGTGAAAAATAGGGATGGAAACGTTTCTTGAAAAATATCTATATTTTCATAGGTTTGATACATATTGTATTATAAATAATGATATCAAATATATTGTCACCGAAGACAGTATTTGTAAGCTTCAAGGGGTGAAAAATATAGATGGGAACGTTTCTTGAAAAATATCTATATTTTCATAGGTTTGATACATATTGTATTATAAATAATGATATCAAATATATTGTCACCGAAGACAGTATTAATTAAAGCTTTTATAACGAAACATTCTTATTTAAGGGCAAAAGTGAGATTTTAAGGTATTTTTTATTATACGATGTAATGATACTAAAATGTATTACATGCGTAAATTCAAGTGACCCTCCATTTAAAGAGTGGCATGTCCGATGTACCTTCGAAACCTTCATTTCTCCATCGTTTCTGAAGTATGAATCACTTTAGTAGAGAAACCACAAATAAAGATAATCAGTTTTCACAATGAGAAACACGGATATTAGATGTAAGAAAGATTTGAAGGGTAGATGTGAATCAGAATTGAAATGAGGTTTGCAGTCACTTTAAACCTCTAAATTGATTCTATATTTATTAAACTGCTTTGTAGCCCCCCCCCATGGGTGCTTCCCTACTACGCCCTAGATTCTACCCCCGCCCCATCCCTGATATTTCAGGGTGGAAATATTCAGGTTCCATTTCACCCCCATATTCCATAAAAAAAATCTTGTTAATCTTCATTTTATCCATATATGATAGTAGTAATAATAACAATATTAATATATATCTATGATATAAAACATTTCAACCTTTACGAACATTTTGGAATGTTTTTTTTTGACTAAAACNATAAATCCTATCTCAGTCCCTCGAGACTTTCCCCGCTGTTCTTTTTTCCACAATCATCGGTTTTATTACTTGCTGATTCCCTTGACTATCATTAGGCATGTTTGTTGCTGAATGCATTAAAGAATTACAGTAGGATATAGGACAAATAGGATATATGTGGAAAAATGGAAATCTTTCCTCATAGATTCATTAGAATATTGAAAATGGGCATATAGTGAAATTCCATCCTTCACGAGGGATTTTCAAGCTTTTGAGGATTCGTGTTAAAATTGAAACATTTTTAAAAAAAATTTGTCCAACATTTTTTACTTATTTTTCTAATAAACGAAAACGAAAAAAGATGGCAAAGATTTAATTGTGATAGTTAGATAGTTCGTTTAATTTACTTAAAATGATGGATTATGATAAGTTATGATAAGTTTTTGATAAAGTATAATCAATTAGTACAAGGGGTGTATATTTTCTTGAAAATCATTTCTACCCGCCTCTTTCGAAAATCATTATTTTCTCCAGAATTCAGGTTTATAATTTTTTAGGGCTTTATTCGCTGAAATGGAGAAAATAAATAAAAATTTGTAGTTAAAAAAAATATGGAAAAACTTACTTGTTAATGTTTAATTTTTAATTTTTTTCCCCTAGTTCTTCAAAAATAATTCCTTTCCCTCAAGCGGAAAATAGATTTTAGCTTTACCTTTTAGTAATCCAAAAAAGTTGTTTAATTGAAATTATATAAATATTTTATTATGTGTTTAGTATCTGGTGTGTGACTACCTCTCCGAAATCACTATGTCTCTCCTTGCAGCAGCTAGGGAAACATTTTAATATATTTTTATTTACACTTTGCTTGTCTGTCTGTTTGAATCCAGTAAACGTCAAAAAAGCCAAACTAATCGTGCCCAAATTTTGTGTGAGATTTACATGACCCCCCGCCGGGAAGGTTTCTGAATGATCAAAATTTCAATAATTTGCATTAAATTTGAAAATCCGCGAAATTTTTTTTCTTCAAATCCACGAATATTCCTTTTGGTTTTGTTTTACAATGTTCGCAATGAGAAAATGTTCACAATTGAAAAAGAAGAATGGCGTGAAGCGCCCTAAAAGCCTCGTTTTTATATTATATATTTTTTTACACGTTCCAGGGGTTGAAACAGGGGTATATATTTTCAAGAATTACATCCCCAGTGGGATTTTTAAAGCTCTGGGGGAAAAATGAAAATTGTAAACTTTTAACCCAAAATTTCATATATTTTCCCATGTAAATCAATAATTATTCCCAAATCCGCGTTTTAATTTAAAACCCTTAAACATGCTCAACACTGCACCGTGCCGGGNGGGGGTATTTTTAAAAGGAAGGACAAATTATCTCATTTAACATAAAGACAAAAGAAAGGAAAATATTGATAAAAAATTGATTGAAAAGACAAAATGAAAAACATCAGGAAATCAAATCTGAAATATAATAATCGAATATTGTACCTTCGCGTTGATTCTGTATAAAGTTTACCTAAAAAGTGCCCAGGAAAATTCTTCATCTATTTAAATTAAAAATTTCGTGTTACAATACCATTTTTTATCTTCCCAAATTCAAACTTAAAATCGTCGAAAATTAGACTTTTGGATTTTTTCTTCGATTTCTATTTTGAAGTTTTAATGTTTTAATGATTTTTTTATTGGCTTTTTTTCTGAACAAGTTTTTTAAATGGATTTATATTGTTAACCATGGTCTTAAATGAATTTGCAAGGATTTTGTCAAATATATTATACTAGCCTTAGAGGGCGCTTCGCGCCCATCTTCTAAATTAATTGTGAACATGTTCTCTTTGTGTACATCGTAAAACAAAACAAAAATAATTCGCGGATTTTCACAAAAAATTTCGTGAATTTTCAAAATTTTAAAAAATTTAATGACGATCAAATTTTGATTGAGACAAATATTTAAAATTTCAATCATTCATAAACCTTCCCTGGGGTCCCTAGATGTCCCACAAAAAATTTGGGCCCGATCGGTTCAGCCGTTTTGACGTTTATTGGATACAAACAGACAGACAGACAAACAGACAGACAAGCCAAATTTATATATAGATATTAGTTATGATTTTTTTAATGGGTTTGGTGGAAAGTATTTAGGCCAAAATAATAAATGATATAAATAACACTGGGCTGGGATGTTGTAAATATATGAAGAGTAGAAGAAAGATGATAGATGAGATTATACATTAAGATTGAATCCATGAAGCAGGAAAACAAAGGAATTGAGTAGTTGTCACAAACTCCGATTTTCTTATCTCCATATCTTTGCAGTCCCATGTCGCAGACCTTAGATATTTCAAACTATGAATTCTGCTAGATTGGAGCAAAACTTACCATTTGAGCCTTACTAAGTGAACAGTTTGTTAAGCTACCAAACTATGGGCTCAAAATCTAGATACTCGTTGTGGTATCACATCTTGTCATGCTCTGCTTCAGAACTTCCTACAAGCCTCATAAACTCTCGACTCTAATCTATCATCTCTGGATGTAGGGTACACTGTTCAATCTCAAAAGATTGACCACAATTTTTTTTATTTAATAAAACGACATATTTACAACATAAAGAAAGGAGCAAGTTACAATTCATAAAAGTCGGGGCTTAAAATATATATTTGTCACAAACTTTACAAAGTTTTTGCAATATTAAAGTTTTTAAACTTATTGGAAACATGTTGGAAACCCTTTATAAAGATTTTACATCTTTAAAATATATCTAAATGGTTTATAAGTTGGAACAAAGACAAGTACATAAAGTACATAGACTATCTTATTAAGAAGAGAATTATAAAAATATGAAATGTGTGTTGTAGATCCAAAAACCCACAGCTTGGGTTTACTCCAGATTTTGTGGAGAGTATTGCACCGTACTTGGGAGAAATTAAAAATCAAGGTGAATCTTCCTCTGAGTATTAAAATTTATTTTCAAAAGGAAAGAATTTTCACACCAAACGTTGTAACGTAACGTAAATTTAAAATTTTAATAGCAGAGTGATATATGTATTTATGCAACTGTCTTGTGTTATCGTGCGGGACAAAATATTTTTTTGTTGGCCGGGGGTTTAACCTTTTTTGTTTGTTTAAGGTTTAAACCGAAAACAAAGAAACAAAAAAGTAAAAATTTCAACCAAAAACATAATTTCCCAAATGCACAAGACAGTTGGATAAATAAAATTATTCAATTTAAGTTTCATTAAATGTGCGATTTTTTAAATTAAAATTCGCAAAATAAAAAGGGAAACCTGGTTTGCTGGTATAAAATGTTACTTATTTACCTCGGAGCAAATATGAAACTTTTTATGCCCAAGATCATGAAATTGTGAGTAAAAATGCGGGAAAAATTTCTCTCAGAATTGATAAAATTACTTAATTACTCTGTCGTAGGGTGATAAAGTAACTTTATAACCCTACAACGGGAAATATTAGGTACAAAGGAATTGAGTTTTTGCCACAAACTCTGCTTTTCTAAACCCTATATCTTTAGATTTCAATGTTGTAGACCTTAGATATTTCAAACTATGAATTCTGTTAGATCAAATAATGTAAGTTTGAAATATCAAAGATTTGCGACATTGGGTTCCAAAGATATAGAGATTATAAATTCAGAGTTTGTTGCAAAGACTCAATTCCTTTGAAATTTTAATAGCAGAGTGATAAAGTTACCCTAATGTCGGATGATATAATAAATGTATCACCCTACAACAGGAAATATTAGATGTGATAAATTCCCCCAAATTTAATAAAAAAGTTAAAGAAAACTTGTTCACTGTTCAGGGATCAGAGTTGTTACTAATGGAGGAGGAATTAACCCTGCAGGTAGTTTTTAATGACATTTTTTTCTATCTTTGTTCTACTTGATCTAGATTTTATCAATAATTATTTTAGCTTGTGCAGCCATGTTACAGAGCTTATCAAAGGTAACACATTATTATTTTGCTGATGCAGATCTAAGATGATAAAATGCTAAATTTGTATTCAGTTTTAAAGAAATTTTAAGGAGTAAAAACCCTGCAAACTGAATTCTGTTATCTCTAATTGTTATTATTTCAAAATTTACAAATGCTTGCAGTTAGATCAGCAATCAAAACCTAAAATTGTAACAAGAAGATTTGCACCCATAAAACTGGTATTTAATATTTAATCATTTCCCCTTTAACCTGTTAATTCTCTAAACGTGGTTTTTATGCGAAAAGTTAAGTTTCTAACTTGCAGTCCTTGGAGAAAAGCTCAACTTTGTTTAACTTTATCTCAAGAAATAAAAACATTATAATTTAATCCACACAACTTTGATGAGCAATTCTTTTTCCAACTGTAAAAGATATTAAGGACTTTTCATGGATAAATGGAATTTTCTTTGCCTTAAAGGGATTATCGGGATCCTTTTGCAAAAAGGAAAGCTTTTTAGGTTTTTAAAACTCTGAATCGGGGACTATTAATAATTTTGAGGGTAAATTAATGATTATTTGGGTAAAGCTAAGAACTATACAAAAAGAAAGAATATTTTTGACTGAAATCCATTATTTAAATTTTCCCCAAAATCTTCTAAAACAATTCCCTCCTGCTGAGTGGATATAATTTTCCTTTCAAGAAAATTATGGGATTTTTTTAAGAAGCAATTTTGTTATTTAGAAATAATATTTTCTCTTTTAAAACCTTATATTTATATATATCTAGTGATCAATCTTTCCTAATTGCTAAAATATCTGAAAATATGATATAAGTAAATGAATAAACTTCTAATGGAGCTAAACTTTTTTGTCGTCATTAATACAATATTCTGAAAAAATCTATTGCTTTTTTACACCTATATATCTAAAAAGATTTAAAATTTATTTTACATAAATAATCAAATTATATTTTGTTTGTTTTTTTCCACTAAATTATCAATTAAATGATTTAATTCAAGTACAGTTAAACCATTCATATATTTATTTTTCGTAAATAAGCCATTTAATTATTTATAAATAAACCATATAATTATAATCCATAGAATTTATCTATTTCACATAAAATAAACCGTTCAAAAATTTGTATAAATAAATTTTACAATAAATGGTTTATTTTATTTAAATTAATTTGTATAATTTAAATAAATTAAAATATTTAAAGAGTTATACAATGAATTAAACAATGCAAGGCTTTTAGAGCGCTTCGTGTACATCTTCTATTTAACTTTTAACTGTGCAGCTCTATCAGTGAGATCTGTGAGCATCTTCTCTTTGTATAAGATAAAACAAGAACAAAAAAGTTCACGGATTTAATCATATTTTTCGCGCATTTTCAAAAGGGGATGGCGGAGTTGGCACATTTGATGTAGGGGGGGGGGGGCCCTGCCTTCATTTTTGGTTCAAATCTTCCAATTTTTTGGGTGCACGCCTAATT